AAACGCGCCCGCCGTTCCGCGCTGTGCTTGCCTCCCCGCCCGAGAGCTAAATAGAGGAGTCCACAGTGAAGTGCCCGTTCTGCGAAAGTGTTCTGCGGTCTGTGGTGTTTAACTTCACCACCGTGGGGGTGTATTTGGAATTCCTGTAACAGACAAAGCAGAGGATCCTCCGGAAGGTGTTACGCATCTCGTTGTCCCTGTAAGAGTAGACGATAGCGTTTATCAACGAGTTGATCTCTGCCAGCAAAAGGACGTATTTCTCCACCGCCAGAACGTTGCAGCTCTTGCAGCCCAAACCATCCAGGAGGAGCACGACTTGTCCTGGGGTCCAGCAGATGACAAAAGCACCTGGGGAAGAGAAGAACCTCTGTTAGAGAAAAAGCAGGTTCCTGGCCCTGCCCAGTCACGCACCACAGAGACATTCAGTGGACTCACTGGCGTTTTATCTTTGGGAAAAAAGTTAAGGAGGGCAACTACAGAGTAGAATCTTTAGGTTGGAAAAGACCTTTAGGATCATAGAATGGTTTGGGTTGGAAGGGACCTTAAAGACCATCTAGTTCCAACCCCCCTGCCATGGGCAGGGACACCTTCCACTAGACCAGGGTGCTCCCAGCCTCATCCAGCCTGGCCTTGGACACTCCCAGGGATGGGGCATCCACAGCTTCTCTGGGCAACCTGTCCCAGTGCTCCCCACCCTCTCTGGAAAGAACTTCTTCCTGATATCCCATCTAAATCAAGTCCAACTATTGACCCAATGCTGCCAAATCCACCACTAAACCGTGTCCTTCAGCAACGAGTTTCTCTCTATTTTTGCTTTGGAGGAAGACCAAGGATTCAAGCAGCAAATACTAAAGGTGGAGGCACTGTCTTCCCCCCCCTTCCAATTCCCTCCCTCATCCTCTTCATCACATTTACAGAGTGAAGATAAAGTGCCCGTCTTCCCCATTTACACACCACTCCCTCCAAAAAGGGGAATGGGCCCTTAAAGTAGGGAAGAGTCAAGAGCGATACAACTCTAACGACACAATCTCCGCTGTCCCTGCAGTTCACGAGGGCTTTAGTTACCAGCATGAGTTCAGAGGAGTCCTGGCCAACGCTTTGGGCAGAAGCGTCTCACCCAGCCACGCACCGAGCAGAAAATAGACACGCAATGGGCTGATTCAGTCGGGCTGATACCACATTCTCGCCACCACCTGCAAAGCTCCTTGGCAAAAGGATAATTGCTGGTTTGCATGACGGAGTGGGAGGTGCCCGCGGCTCCTAAACCCCTTTTTACAATCGTCCTTTGAAGGCTGACGTCAATGGGGCACTCGCCCGTCGGGGCTGCTGGAGGTCACACATGAGGTTGTATCTTAAAGCCCAAGAGCTGCACCCTGCATCTTTTGGGAAAGGGTGGGATGCAGCAAGACTGGCTGGGAACTTGCAGCTACACCCTTCACCAAAAAACATCGGTCAGGGAAGAAGAGCCAGAGGAGCTGCACCGAAACAGAGACTGAATTTAAAGCTACCATCGAGTCAAAGGCTGCACTGGGGAAAAGCCAGAGGAGGGATCTTGGGATCCCACTTGGGAGGGACCTCCTGGGTTTCTTGGGAGGGTTCCCCGCAGATTTCAGGCCACTGTATGACGGAACCCCTTTTATTTAAGGGATTTGTGCTCCCCGCTGGTCAGCGCAGCAGGCGTCACGTCCGGGCCGGGCAGCTTTCCCCGCGCCTGCAGACAGGACTTTGTTCCCTTTCAATTTAGCAAACCTACAATCTAGATTCCCGGCTGGCAGGAAGGAAGATCCAACAATTCTCTCTTGAGTGAGCCTGCGGGAGAGGGATCTCCGTGTTTAGTGGTGTAACCTTTCTCCAGCCAGGTTTTCAGCATCCACAAGGACAGCCAGATTCTCCAGAGAGCCACAAAGCAAAGCCAGAGGGATATTAAAGATGAGAAGGGGGGAAATCCAAGACAGCATACCTTAAAAAAAAGGGTTTGGGGTCTTTGCCTGCAAATCCAGCTTATTTCCTTGCTCCTTAATGGAAGCTAAAGTATTCAGAAAGAACCCTGAACAATGACACAGCATGGTCACTAACAACCCTGCAGTTTCGCCACCATCACATCCCATGTCGCTCAGCTGGTCTGTGGGAAAATTCACTCCTAGTTTCCAGCTGTACCTTGGACTTACTATCAGCTTCCAGGTCAGCTCCTAGACCCGTTCTTAACGCCCAGGACCTGTGGGATTATCGACTGCAGCTTGCGATGCGGTGGCACGCAGACAGCTCCTACCGCACCCTCGACTTCCTTGCATGCTCACCCACGGCTACGCCCTCTGATGCCTAAGGCCCAAAGTATTCCTCTGTGCAGAGTCCAAGTTTGCAGAAGGCTGGGGAAGGAGGGTGGAGAAGGAATCGCACCAGGGCTTTCACAGGGAAGGGAAAAAAAACCCTCTGCAGGCTCAACTTTGTGTACACTGAGGCTGAACCGAAACGTATTCTCCAAGTTAAGCAATTCCCTCCCTTGTAAGGGAGCTGGATGGAACTGACTGCGGCTTCCCTCCAACACCGCGCCACGGAGGAAGGGGAAACCCTCGGGTTGAGTTCCAGAGGTCTGGGGAACTCCTGAGTCTCCTTGGCTTTCCACTCTGGGTTCCTCCTGGCTTTGGCCATCCTCAGAC